GCCCTGTATGTCACCAAAACCTGCATAAATAATAAGGACATTATGTTTGACAAAAATTCGACAAATCAATATTGATTTAAATTCACTATCACTGATTTAAATTCACTATCACTGATTTTATTAAGTTCATTATTTGGAGTTGACTGCGAGAGTTAGAACATTAACATTAGATATTTTGAAATAAAGTGTGCTTATTCTACCCATTACATAATAATTACACAAGATAACATTATAACATAATTAAATGATCATCTGTATTCTATATCTGATAATTATCAAAATTGAACTGTTATTAAAAGTTTGATTTCATTACCAAATTCTTAATTATTCTAATTCTTATAAATTCCTAAATATTCTAATTAAATAATACTCCTAAATATTCTAATATTCTAATTCTTACGTTCGACTCCTGAAAAAAAAACTTGATAAAATTAAAATCAGTTCAACATACAACTAACTGTCCCTTTAAATTCTTTTGTATTGTAGAGATTCTGTGATTTACACTTTACTTTGAATTTGTAAGAATATTATGAAAACCTGCAAATTTCACAAGTTGTACAATGTGATGTCTGCAACTTGCCATCTTCTCATCGTTATTCATTTCTGTCCAAGCTGATGATTAGTTCATATTATACCACAGTACATTACAGTAGTCTAGTTGACATTGGAAAAGTGAATCTCTAGTAAACTCGTTACTCGCAAACTAAAGTATGATTTTCTTGATATAATATAAGGTCAAATAATTCATTTTATTGACTTATAGTTATAGAAACAGAAAAATGAATAATTACCCTCGGACGTCGTTGTGTTCTGAAGTTGCTGTCGATTCAAACTATCGTTTATTTCAAGAGCAACACTCGAATCAAATAGAGACAGAATTTCATCGTAACTTTTTGCTTTTACTATACTTTTAAGCTCCTTTGCATATATTTCTAGGACCTTTTTGGCAAGATCCGAATTCATCTCGGTTACTCTGGAGGATTATAACATCATATTATCGTATCAATATAGTCCAAATCCTGGCTAGATAACATGAAGACTTTGTTTTAACTTGCATGAAAAGCATTAATATTAATATATTATGTCACACCACACAGAGAAAAGACAATTTTAGAAAAGACATAATATTATACAGCAAAAAATAACCCAAAAATCAAAAAATCGAACTGGAAATAGAAAGCTTCCAGTATAAGCAACCATATAAAATAAATAGGAAATCTCAACAAGAATAGACACCAAACAATATAATAAACAACTATCTCAATGCCACATATAACTGAAGGAGCAGTAATCCCATTGCAAAAATAATAGTCAGGACACTATCAACTAAAAGATGATGAAGCACACCACATCACAAGCAAAATATTATTATTGTGGGCACATAAGAACCGATGTAACAAGAATTCCTGAAATCTAGAAGACATGGCCTTATTTGATGTGTAATCAGTAACGCCCTACACCTATATTAGGTTTTTCAGGCAAAAGCTTTACTGTAATCGAGGGCATTGCATGCAACAAGTACCTAGCTTCAAAACTTTCACTTATCTAAAAATGGCTTGGCTGTAAAAACATAGAGGCATTTAAACGTCTTACCTAAATATCTACAATACTCAAAGACAAAGGATTACGATTCTACTTGGATCTCATCAACCAGGTGTTAGAAAAACCAATACAGCAGCAGAGATCACGACAGACATATTTGTACTGTAACACTAAGACTCTATTTCAAGCAGTTTGTTGGATTTCACGAGAACATCACAGATATTAAGAGTTATCATTAATTTTGACAAATAATTTTGATAGATAGAGAAAAGTAGATTAAAAGGATAGATAGTAAATACTTAGGGTAATCATTAAAATGATCTCAAATAGAACCGAATTTAGAGGATAAAGCATATGCTAAAAACGATAGAAAATAGTACGAATGGGTACTCCACCCAATGAGAATACGTGAAAACATAGTTAGTAATCAAATTACACATTAAAAAGATAACCAAATAGGGTGAAAAGGAGCTTCGAAATGCGACGATAACACTAAAAAACAACCTAAATATTATTGTGAAAATATGACATTATTTGGTTTAGCGCTCGATTTTCATACCACGGTGTAAATATTCGAAAATATGCGCGGCGCACCTAAAATTTTGGTTCCATTAAACATGAATTTTTTGGTCAAAATTATATTAAATATACTTTAATTAATTGTTATTACAAGATATAAGTTTAAAAATTTTCAAAATATAGCATATAAGTACCAAAAATAAATTGCGCGCAGAAAAGTCAAAATTTTTACCACTTTTTTGGATTTTTACCTCAGAACAAATAGAGGGATTTGTTTTATTTTTACACAATCTTGTGCGGCTGTCTTTTAGCTATCTTCATGCAAGTTTTGCCGACATACCAACAAAATTAACTTGCTCAAAATATCAAAAAACATGGTTTTTTGGCCTATTTTTGGCCCAAAAATCGGTTTTTTGCAATTTTACCCCAGAACAATCAGTCCAATCATTTTAAAACCACTTTCAATCGATTCTACGGTCAAAAATACGTCTAGTAAGGTGTATCTGGGGTCCCTAGCGTATCGAGCAGACAATGCCCGTAAGAGCCTCTACTAGAACCAGAGAGTGTGGTAATTGGGTTAGGAAAGTAAACATACATGCGACAAAGATCAGGGTTACCATTAGGAAGAAATTTCAGCAAAATTTATAGAAAAGAGTGCACACATACATGCGAGAAAAATCGGGTTACCAATAAGAAAAAATCACAACAGAAAAGTTTACAACCCTCAGATCAGCGTAGTAAAAGTGTACTAGAAAATTAGTCTGTAAAACCGTTTTACGCATGTTATTGATTTTCGGTTTAGTGCGTTCTATTGCTAAGCCTTCTCTTATAAAGGTATCTAGGGTATCCTTACATTGTTCTGATATGCTAAATTCGAAATTTTGTTTGAAAAATTTGGTCCATCAAATATTATAATTGTTGCTCTATCCAGTTGTATCACGTCGTGACCCCCACGGTCGTTTCACTATATGGTGGTGAACTTTATGGTGGTGGAGACTATGGTGATGAACTCTACCCCTGTAGAGTTTCTACGATACAGGTTGATACATGTTTCGTATCCAAATATCAGAGATATTATGGATACACCATGAAGGAACACCTCTGCGCGGCGTAAGTAAATTTACAAGTTCGCGCGAAAAATTGTCTTATTTTCCTGGCGCTTTGTTCTCGCGCCGGGAGTGAATCACTAATTAGCTAACTACTTAACTAGCATAAACTACAATCTAGATCTACAATACGAAGTAAGAGTTACCACGTTACTCTTTTATTTCTCCGTTAAGCCTACAATTCTAATAACTAACAATGGAGTATGAGGTCAATTAAATGTCCATAGATATGGATTATAGAAATTATATAAACACATAATTGAACAGCATGAGACAAGTGGAAAACAAACAAACGAATAGATTTCAAGCTCGTAAAGGATCGTTGCTGGATATTGGAGATTTCAAAAGTGTAGTCCGACAGTCAAAGTTCTCTTGTCTAACTTTAGTGCGTATCGAACTTGAGTCCAGATAGAGCACTTTAGTTCGACAAAGTCGAACCTCAGGGTTTGTCGAACTACAGTAAGTGACGAACTAGAGTGCGTGTCGAACTTGAGTACGTGTACCGAATTTACCATGGTAAAAACATCTTCACACCGTAAAATGGGCAAAAGCTACAATAACGGTTCCTCCGACATTGTTTACAGCGGGCAATATCCTTTATTTCATTCAATTCTTCTGAAGTGTTCATGACCAAATTACGGTCTTTAGGATCGTCCATTAATAATTTAAGGAGGCTTTTGCCGGGACAACCTATACACCCTTTTATTTTGACAGGGCAGCTCAGAAGTAGATGGTTCTAAAACAAAACATAAATAAATCTAATCCCTTTAAAATAAATATGCTACCATCTAGCTTACTCATAGAACACAACTCGGAATGAGCTTTTAGACTTCATATTCAAATCAAGCGGTAAGTAAATATTGATAATATAACTAACTCTACTGCATTATAATCCACCTTGCGTGGCTGAGAGGTAGTTGGTAGTTACCTCTGCCTCTGCCTCTGTAGTCACCGCTGTAGTTACCTCTGTAGTTACCTCTTGAGCTGAAACTGTTTCCTGCCTTATAACCATGGTATGATCCTCTGTTTCCATACGATTTTGAGTCTTTGTTGTAGAAGGTCTCGTTCTCTGCCTCATCTGAACTAGTGAGCGATGTAGATGCATTTCTTGAGGAACAGTCCCCTGACTGATCAGTCTCGCTTGAAGAGTGTCGATTGTACATCACTTCTTGTTTAATCGACATAGCTGATGTTCCCAGTCCCGAAGAACCCATCAGCGTACCTGATAGTCCTGTTCCAAACGTTCTCTTCAAAGCTCCTTCCACCAAACTGAGCTCGAGCTTCGTCACTGTAGCTCTAATTAAGGTCATACTGTTCTGTTCAAGACCACTGTTCTTGAGTAGGAAATAGCCAAGGACACCATCATCAAACATGTCTGTCTTGTCGCTCATCTGTTCTGCTATTTTCTTCTTGTAGTGAAACTCCCTGCAGTAGTCTTCCATAGATAGATCAGCTGGTCTTTTATACTCCAAAAAAGCATCCAAAGCGTTAAACACTTGCTGGGTATTGTCTGGTAGGAACAGTTTGTCCATTTCTGCTATCAGTTTCTTTACTCCATCTTCTCCTTTCAAATCGTCGATTTTGAGTTGGATAGCAGCCTGCTCTGGTCTACCGCTCATACACGTTATAAGGGTAGCTGCTCTCTTGTTCTTAGTTGTGCTCGTTGGGACTTCCCATACAGTAACCCTTCTCTTCCAATCCCCATAACACGTTGTATCTGTTAACCTAGGGACTTTGTCTTCCCCCATGATTGATCTAATCGTTCCTTTCTGCTACCACTGTTAAATTGTATGTTTTGATCAATCACGGGAGACAAAGTAAAACAAGTTGTAATTTGGGTTAGTAACTAAATTGGTAACAATTGGTTAAATGGGTTAGTAAATGAATTGTTAACAAATTGGTAATGGGTTAGCACACTGACGCTGCACTAACTATCACTGCACGTCACTCTACACAGACCTCAAACACAACTCTCACTCACTTAACCTCGTGAGTGGTGTGGTAATGTGATTACAAACAAATCTTCCCAAAACTGTAAATCCTTCTTAATAACAGTTCAAACTTCTTATAAACTACTTCTTCTAACTTCTTCTAACTTCTTAGAAACTAATTCTTCTATCACTTCCCCAGAAGTGATGTGAACGTGTTGTGATATTCCCTTACTCACAATCACTAGATCTTCTCTTTAGGTTCTTCTGTGTGGTCCCCGTGACACACACACACACTGGAACTTGACTTGTCTGGCTTTCACTCTTACAGCAGCAGACACTCACTAGAACTAAAAACAACCCTGTAAATATAAGAAAGTATGTTAGAAAGTAGTAACCCAAAACTACAAACCTAGGACTAAAGGAACTACTACAAAGAAACTGAAAAGGAACAAAGACCAAAATAAGCTAAACATTACACTACCTGCCCTTCAGGGTTAGCTCTCGTTCCGTTCACCTGAATCCTCTATATTTACATCCTTGTTGTATTTACATGCTAAGGGAATGAGTGTGTGTGAAACAACAAAACATAACCACTCAGACATGTCTATGAATATAATAACTTAAAGGTAAAATATGATACAATTCGTTCTCTCGACAGTTCAGGACTCAGAACCCCTTAAATTTTTTAATGGCAGGTCTATCCTGTGAAGGCACCAAATAAATCTTTGCAATTCCCATCCAAAATTCTTCTCTAAGAGGGCTATAATCCCATTGTGACGTCCGGTGTTGACGTTAGTGGCGTAACAGCCACAAGATCTTAGTGGCGAGTTGTCGAATGTCGATCCTAAGCTCATCACAATGCTGCATCTTTTCTCCCGTAGAGCGACTCCACTTTCAGATTTCGAAGGTCTTCTAACTCATTCTCTTTAGATCGCTGCACTATCTTTGGATTTCTTCAGTCTCCTGAAATATATTATGTCACAATAGATCATTAGATGATACGTAAAGATACTGTACAGGCAATCCATGATTGTTGATTTGTTTGCATACCCAAAAATATTTCTTTTATATTAATAGCTTATAAAAACCCCAACATTAGGATGTATTTGAAAAGTAACTTAAAACGACATGCAGAGCGACCAATAACGCCTGAATCAATGCTTGGTAGCACAAACCGGAGGTTAAAAATGAATATTTGTCCACATGGTGACATGGTTGTTGCATGGGTCACTTGCAAGTTCATATATCACATACTTGGTTTTACATTTCGGAAAGCAGCGTGGGTTTCAGAGTTCTGACTCCACTTGAGGATATGCTCCTGATAGCGTAATCCAGTTTCTTTATATTTGGGATAACCTCCGAAACAGAAACCATGTCCCCTCCGCCGCTTTTGTGGTGATGTAGAATGGCTTCAGTACCGCAATAGCTTTGGTCAGAAGATCCCAATCGTGAGGAGTCATCTGCAAAATTCAGTTGATCAATACTTAGCCTGTACATTGAGAAGTGAGCTAGGAATTAGGAAGTCCAGCGGACAAGAATTTGTTCCAGTTACATTCCAGGGACATTGATTCTCTAAATTAGGGGTGCTGGGAGATCTGCATAGAGTCCACTAGTATTTAAAATTAGCCTGTACTGGTTCAATAAAATGTGACCTCCAAATCAGTAAAATTAAGGGTGCTGGAAGAGCTGAATAGAGTCCACTAGTATTTAATATTAGCCTGTACTGGCTCAATAAAATGTGACCTCCAAATCAGTAAAATTAAGGGTGCTGGAAGAGCTGCATAGAGTCCACTAGTATTTAATATTAGCCTGTACTGGCTCAATAAAATGTGACCTCCAGATCAGTAAAATTAAGGGTGCTGGAAGAGCTGCATAGAGTCCACTAGTATTTAATATTATATTAGCCTGTACTGGTTCAATAAAATGTGACCTCCAGATCAGTAAAATTAGGGGTGCTGGAAGAGCTGCATAGAGTCCACTAGTATTTAATATTAGCCTGTACTGGCTCAATAAAATGTGACCTCCAGATCAGTAAAATTAAGGGTGCTGGAAGAGCTGCATAGAGTCCACTAGTATTTAATATTATATTAGCCTGTACTGGTTCAATAAAATGTGACCTCCAGATCAGTAAAATTAGGGGTGCTGGAAGAGCTGCATAGAGTCCACTAGTATTTAATATTAGCCTGTACTGGCTCAATAAAATGTGACCTCCAAATCAGTAAAATTAAGGGTGCTGGAAGAGCTGCATAGAGTCCACTAGTATTTAATATTAGCCTGTACTGGTTCAATAAAATGTGACCTCCAGATCAGTAAAATTAAGGGTGCTGGAAGAGCTGCATAGAGTCCACTAGTATTTAATATTATATTAGCCTGTACTGGTTCAATAAAATGTGACCTCCAGATCAGTAAAATTAGGGGTGCTGGAAGAGCTGCATAGAGTCCACTAGTATTTAATATTAGCCTGTACTGGCTCAATAAAATGTGACCTCCAGATCAGTAAAATTAAGGGTGCTGGAAGAGCTGCATAGAGTCCACTAGTATTTAATATTATATTAGCCTGTACTGGTTCAATAAAATGTGACCTCCAGATCAGTAAAATTAGGGGTGCTGGAAGAGCTGCATAGAGTCCACTAGTATTTAATATTAGCCTGTACTGGTTCAATAAAATGTGACCTCCAGATCAGTAAAATTAAGGGTGCTGGAAGAGCTGCATAGAGTCCACTAGTATTTAATATTATATTAGCCTGTACTGGTTCAATAAAATGTGACCTCCAGATCAGTAAAATTAGGGGTGCTGGAAGAGCTGCATAGAGTCCACTAGTATTTAATATTAGCCTGTACTGGCTCAATAAAATGTGACCTCCAGATCAGTAAAATTAAGGGTGCTGGAAGAGCTGCATAGAGTCCACTAGTATTTAATATTATATTAGCCTGTACTGGTTCAATAAAATGTGACCTCCAGATCAGTAAAATTAGGGGTGCTGGAAGAGCTGCATAGAGTCCACTAGTATTTAATATTAGCCTGTACTGGCTCAATAAAATGTGACCTCCAGATCAGTAAATTTAGGGGTGCTGGGAGAGCTGCATAGAGTCTACTAGTATTTAATATTAGCCTGTACTGGTTCAATAAAATGTGACCTCCAAATCAGTAAAATTAAGGGTGCTGGAAGAGCTGCATAGAGTCCACTAGTATTTAATATTAGCCTGTACTGGCTCAATAAAATGTGACCTCCAAATCAGTAAAATTAAGGGTGCTGGAAGAGCTGCATAGAGTCCACTAGTATTTAATATTAGCCTGTACTGGTTCAATAAAATGTGACCTCCAGATCAGTAAAATTAAGGGTGCTGGAAGAGCTGCATAGAGTCCACTAGTATTTAATATTAGCCTGTACTGGCTCAATAAAATGTGACCTCCAGATCAGTAAAATTAGGGGTGCTGGAAGAGCTGCATAGAGTCCACTAGTATTTAATATTAGCCTGTACTGGTTCAATAAAATGTGACCTCCAGATCAGTAAATTTAGGGGTGTTGGAAGAGCTGCATAGATATATATATATATATATATATAACTCTAAAACTCTGGTCACAAGAGCAACTGCCTAAACGTGCAGAAGTGAAAACAAATACATAAAATACTAGCAATCCTTTAAATTCGCAATAAATAAGTTCGTTCAATGTCATTATATAATTCTTAAAACCGCATATATATGTGACCGGTAAATAATTTAATTGGTCTATAGACTACTGTATAAAATTCTCAATATAAACTTTTTAACAATAATAAATTAATTAAAAACGCACAACAACCTTTGGTGTGTAAGAATGATTAAACAGCCTCATTTTGACACAAAATGTCTTCATAATATTATAGTATATGCTATAATATTAGAACTATTAAGTTGAGTTCAGGTAACAGAATTTAACTGTAATAGTACCTCTGCTGTGTTATCCACTGTTGAGATGTAGCCATATCTTCGTCCGGTCTAACATTGACCCCGGCTCATGAAATATATGCTTCGTCCGGTCTAACATTGAACCCGGCTCACTAATCATAGGGATGGTGTAGTTATGGTAGTTGGAATATAATCAACTGTTTAAAGTTTTATCTCTATTCGAAGGAATTCTTCTGCATCCTTTGTTATTTCCAGTGCTAGATCAAAGAACTCACGAAGTCTGCTCCATGATATCAACATTGAGTTCCCACCATAGCCTTGGTTTTTGATGTTGTGGAAAGGGTGTCTTTCAAGAAGCTCACTCATTTTGTTCCTTTTATCTGCTTGTACATCAGGACAGTCGGTAAGCAGGTGAAGTGAATTTTGAGCCCCTCGCCTACAATCACACAGTGGAGAATCAAATTTACTGCTTTTGAAGCGGTGTAGAAATTCGTTCATTATGTTGTTCGGATAGAACAAGCTTAGAAACAAGGTTTCAAGTTGCCTTGATGTTTTGGGCGGAAACTTGAGCTTTGTGGCGCTCACTGTAGGTGCCTCTGTATACCCTTCCAGCTGGTACTGGCTGTTTATGGACGATTGCCAAAGCTGTTCACTGTAATGTTTCATCACTGATTTACTGTAGCTGCATCCTTTTATTGATAGACTGGTGAGTTTTTCTAGATCATGGTTATTTATGATTTTTAGATCCTCATTAGTGAAGTGTTCAGGAAGTATCGAAGATTTCCACAATAGAAACTGAAATACATCTTTTACCTTTCCAGTTAGTGCGCTGTAACTGCCTGATTTCATTTGGTCATCAAGCTGCATAGAGTCCACTAGTATTTAATATTAGCCTGTACTGGTTCAATAAAATGTGACCTCCAGATCAGTAAAATAAGGGGTGCTGTAAGAGCTGCATAGAGTCCACTAGTATTTAATATTAGCCTGTACTGGTTCAATAAAATGTGACCTCCAGATCAGTAAAATTAAGGGTGCTGGAAGAGCTGCATAGAGTCCACTAGTATTTAATATTATATTAGCCTGTACTGGTTCAATAAAATGTGACCTCCAGATCAGTAAAATTAAGGGTGCTGGAAGAGCTGCATAGAGTCCACTAGTATTTAATATTAGCCTGTACTGGCTCAATAAAATGTGACCTCCAGATCAGTAAAATTAGGGGTGCTGTAAGAGCTGCATAGAGTCCACTAGTATTTAATATTAGCCTGTACTGGTTCAATAAAATGTGACCTCCAGATCAGTAAAATTAGGGGTGCTGGAAGAGCTGCATAGAGTCCACTAGTATTTAATATTAGCCTGTACTGGCTCAATAAAATGTGACCTCCAGATCAGTAAATTTAGGGGTGCTGGGAGAGCTGCATAGAGTCCACTAGTATTTAATATTATATTAGCCTGTACTGGTTCAATAAAATGTGACCTCCAAATCAGTAAAATTAAGGGTGCTGGAAGAGCTGCATAGAGTCCACTAGTATTTAATATTAGCCTGTACTGGCTCAATAAAATGTGACCTCCAGATCAGTAAATTTAGGGGTGCTGGAAGAGCTGCATAGAGTCCACTAGTATTTAATATTAGCCTGTACTGGCTCAATAAAATGTGACCTCCAGATCAGTAAAATTAGGGGTGCTGGAAGAGTTGCATAGAGTCCACTAGTATTTAATATTAGCATGTACTGGTTCAATAAAATGTGACCTCCAGATCAGTAAAATTAGGGGTGCTGGAAGAGCTGCATAGAGTCCACTAGTATTTAATATTAGCCCCAAAAAAGCGGTCCCGGTCGAGCCTTGGCTTTAACGAGATGGAAGCAACCAGAGAGATGGTTAGATGTATAAATTTGGGGATTGAAGTGGTTTGCAATAACCAGAGAGATGTTAAACAAATTGAACAACAGGTTGTACAAAAAAGCATGTGTAAAGAGTTACCGCTATCGAGTGATAAAAAAGGACAAAGGAGAAAGCATAGATATGATGTTAGGCAGCTAGACGCCAGCTAGCTCATCGCGGTGTCACATGACTTTAATACCACGATATCATTGGTCATCTATATATCCAATGCGAAATATAAATATAGAGCGTTTTTCATGAATTAGTAGCGCCGTACAAAAATCAAGCAGTTTGGAACAAAATTACAAGTTTTCAGTTTACAGAAATATTGAAACATTTCAATTTTTGTTTGCATGAAGGTTCTAATGACTTAATATAGTCGTTTAGATAATAAAAATACTACAAAGATACCAAGTAAACTCACAAATATTGCAACTTGGTTAAAAACAATGCATTTAACTGTTTTGGTGGCGCGCGCGCGCCATCTCAGTCAATTACTCCCATATTTGGTCAAATAGGATAATAGGGACGCAGAATATGCGTCCCTCGAAAAAGTCCGATTCCCTTCATGGTATGCCCCTTTTTCCGCCTTCGGCGGCGCGCGCTTCGCGCGCGAAAAGTGGCATGCAACGTATGTCAAGATACAGGGGGAGCCACGCACTCATGCTCGGCGGGTCATACAACGTATGGCAACTATCCAAATAGATAAGAGCCCTTGCACTTGCAGTAGCGTGCGCCCACCTCACTTGTGAAACAAGCGCCGCGCTTGCAGTGGCGCGAAAGCACATGGTTAGGTGAATTATAATTGTAACATCAAAAGTTGTTTTCGACCAAATTTATTATGATCTAGATCTTTTAAAAATTATTTGATTCAAATATTTGATATTCGAGAAGTTAAAGGCATATTAAGCAAACAATTAACAATTTTTGTCCTTTTTACAAACTTAAAAAGGCGGGGGACCCTGCAACCCAACCAATGTAGCTAAGACACTTTACAACAAGTAGACCAAAGTAGCTCTTGAATTGCTCGTGAACGGTGTATTATACTGCATCAATTACCTGCCGAAGCGGTGGGTTGGTAATTTCATTTGGGATAATTTCCAATTTCGTCATTAAAACTGCATACAATCTAAAATAGTACTGTAAAATACTTACAAAATTTGCATTCAAAAATCTAGGAGACTTCAAAGCTCTTCTTCTGAGGGATGAGGTTGAAAGTAACAAACTTGCAATAATGCAATGGAGGCCAACATGTAAAGTTATGCCACTGGAAGGCATCAAAATTCTTGTAGCACCTTGCTGAGAAGGTCAGCCTTAAGAAAGACCAAAGTTACTCAAGAAAACAACAATTTCAAGAAAACAACAATTTTATTTAGTATACTGCTCGATGTAGTGTCGCAGGCTGTGACAATGGTGACAAAACTTTTCAACTCACTGAAAGTGATTTGGACCTTAACGTGATCAACACGTACCGTGTACTCCTTGATCGGATCATAAAAAGTCAGGGAGTGTTTGATGGTCGAGGGCCTCAACTGCTTGTTGTTGTGATTTGAATTTGTGGAATGCCATTTTTAGTTGACCATTTTATATATTATTTGAAAGGTTTTATAAAACATAATTTATGATTTATAAACCATCAGCTGTATTATCACTTAAATTTAAATAAGTATTAAAACAAAAAACCATCATGTGCTGTTAAGCAGTAGGACGCGGCTCACTGGGACCACTGAGCAAATCGGCGAAAATGAGTTCGTAAAAGCTACTATTGGCACTCGAGTCCTTGATCTTGCTGATGATGCACTGGGCCTTTTGAGCTGCAGTCCTTCAGCTTCTGTCAATTGAAATTACAGGCCTTTACCCAACACACACCCCTAAGCGTTCATACCCTTTGACCATTTCCATTTTCGATTCCCTGGCAATTTCGGGCCATCCCCAGAATCCAGATCCCTGTGGTTCACTTAGTACCCTAATTCAACCCAATTATCAGACTAAAATAGATTGAGCTGGTGTATTTCTTCCAGTTCGACCTCAGTCTCCTCTGATCTTGATTGGACAAACAAAGATTTCGAATGCTCTAATTTAAATTTTGACACCAAGTCTACCCTAGGGTCCACACATCCAAAATGATTATCTTGAAATTGAAAATTAGCTGGGTGGCATTTTCCTTTTCCTTACTAACGTGTGTGAGCGCAGTGTAGTGAGAAAGTGTTTTTAACTTAGGATTACGATTTATGATTTTTGAACTATTACATTGATAAGATTTATTTTTGATAGGTACTTAATAAAGTTGATGAATTCCCCTCCCTATTAAAATTTTAAAAATATTTAGTGAAAATTGATAAACGAAGATCTAGATATTGATACATATTATAACCAACATTGCTTATCCTCTGCCTTGTTAACAAAGAGCAAATTTTCTTAATGCCTTCTCCCTGTCCTAAAACCAAAACTTCATCCTATTAAAGTAAAGGCCTGTTGTTACCACAAGCTATTATACAGTCCCTCTCAAAAACATGCCTCAACCTCCTTCAAAAACAATTTTAGTTTTCAGTCCTTCTAGTTTCCAAAAATGTACCGAGCTAGTGTTCTGGTGTGCACAAAAGCCCCTAAGCCCGTGCATTCCTTGCCCCTCTAGCTGCCAGTCCTTGGCAAACTTCCAATAGCAAAGATCAACTAGTCATTTACAAATTGAGCACTATACAATTTTAATTGTTTTAAATATTTGACTTTGTAAAATGAGCTAAAACATTGATTTTATTAGTTTCATTGATTTTATTACTTTCGTTGATTATGTGCCTCTGGAAGGCCTCTGTACACATATTTTTTAATTAATTTAGCAATATAATTTACAAGTATAGCATACAAAATCTTGTGTTTCAGTTCTTAGCTGAAATGTTGCGGAGATCTTCTGTGTCAAATTCTAATATGGTCTCCAGGATACTAATAATCTACACTGGAGGAACTATTGGCATGAGCAGAAACCCTGAGACAAAAGGTTGGCATATTTATGTACACAATAGTACATGTGGCATTGTTTGTAAATATTATTTGGTAAGAAATCAAAGGCTTTCATATTGTCAGTAGATATCAGCCTATATCTTACTGTATTACTGCAGCTTACGCCGCGCCTGAACATGGATATCTGAAGGAAAAAATAAAGACATTTGCATCATTGTATGATTCTGAGTACGAATTCTGTGAGGGTGATATACTTACAGACCATGAACCGAGAGCTACACCGTGAGTAATAACTTCCACTCTCCTTATGATAGGCTGTTCAGTGAAGTAATTTGTAACACTTTACAGCCTATGGTTTTTTAAGTTATTTAAAATTGTATGATTAATACATGATACTTTGGAAAAACTGCAATATTTGAAACAATTTTTATCAACTTCGATTTTATGATACATAATTTTTAGAATAACCATGTACGGGCGACGTATAATTTACGGTATCGAAGAGTTAGAGACTATAGTTGACAGTGCAAACATGAGTATGAGTGATTGGGCTAACATTGCAAAAGTAATTGAAAAGTAAGTGCCTTTATATTTCATTTTGTTGCCGCTCTGACATGGTTAACCACCTTCCTTGTGTTGTTGGTTAATCATATGAGTAGGATATAAATACATCATTTCATATTTTAACTGAAATATCGTGTGGTATATATATCTGTCATGGTTATTGCTGTGTTAATTATTTATATGTCGATATTTACTGATGTTATAACAGTATTAGTGTTACTCAGGTACTACACAAAGTTCGATGGGTTTGTGGTTGTTCATGGAACTGACACAATGTCTTACACTGCATCAGCACTTAGTTTCATGCTAGAAAACCTGGGGAAGACTGTCATTTTGACAGGCTCTCAGGTAAGAAAAAAAAAACGGCCTGCTAAGATGTTTCTATTCTATCTAAAGAGCTAATCATAGTATTATTCTTGTTCTTTGTATCGAAATTTATGAACTGGAAAGTGGATGGCACATTGTGTTGATTTCTGAATGGAACAATTCCCTAGATTCCCTTGTGCGAGCAGAGAAACGACGCAGTTAACAACTTATTGGGATCCCTCATATTCGCGTCTCACTTTATCATACCAGAGGTTGTAAAACATGCTTAGTTTAACTTATAAATTATTTTATTGATTGATCAACTTGATTACCACTCGTTTTATAACTGTTACAACAATGGTTACATTAAGTTGACAAAGAATCCACCATGACCAGGTAGCAATATACTTCAACAACAAGCTGTTTCGTGGTAACCGCTCCCTGAAGGCAAAGTGTGAGGATATTGACGCGTTTGATTCCCCCAATATGTCACCTTTAGCTGTGATGGGGACTCACATTACTGGTAAATTACAGTGCTTTTAAATATGATATTGCCTATTTAATTCACTAGTTTTATAATTCATATAAATTCTTAAATCATTATAATTTTTATAAGGAGATCTGCTCTAAAATATGGAAATATTTGCTGAGAATTGAGGAACAACATTTAGGTATCCGATATAATTATAAATTATAAATTCCCTTTGTTCAGTAAACTGGAAGAGTGTAGCAGACTCAACAAGTCTATTGCCGTTTTGTGTACAATCAGATATGTGTAGTGAAGTGGTTATGTTGCGACTCTTCCCTGGCATGACTTGCTCCACGGTTCGTTGTTTGGAATTATGTTTCTACTGTTCCTATAGCTGTCTCTGAGTACTTTATTACAGAAAACCAACAGGGCAACAGTATCAACTGCTGATGTTTTCTATTTTCTATTGAATATAACTGTAATACATTGATGTAAAGTTTATTTGAATTTTGAAATTAAATTAGTAGGCTCTGTAATCTTTCGCTATAAAACCAAATAAGATTGCACTTACTTAAGAGTGAAGGCTTCAAAAATAAATCAAAAATATAGTTTCCAGTTTTTTAGACACTCATTGACCTACAGGTTACTTAAACAGAATACCATGCCATTTACCAAAACCTTTAATACTTTACATTCCACATTTACCATATTATATAACCACTATAATATCTACTTAAAATTCCACAGCTGCACCACTTCCTAGCTCCTCCTATAAAAGGAGCAGTTCTGCTAAGTTACGGGGCAGGAAATGGCCCGGACGCGCGCGAGGAACTACTGGAGGTGTTCCGCCAAGTGTGCATGAGAGGGGTGATAGTGGTGAACATCACCCAGTGTCTGACTGGTACTGTCAGTGTGGAGTATAATACCGGCAAGGTATGTAACTGGGGTTTACTTTTATTTTAAACTATAATGTACTGTGGTATTATAGCTAAATATTGTCATGTTTTCATGTTAGTTTGTCCCTTCATTCATACATTCTTTTGTTTTCCAGTACTTCATTAACCATGGCACAAATTAACGGTTTTTTTCACCCCCCAAATGAACCGGGAAAGTGTGCCCCAGTTGGCCTTCCCCTCCAGTATCTAGAATCCAGGTAATACTAGGCGTTACTAAATATATAATTTAAATGTTGTGTGCCTTGAATTTCAGCGGAGATGGGACCTTCAAGATTCACTACACTGCAAATCGCTCACTCACATCAAGCAGTATAAAAAGTCAAACCTCACTCTGACAAACGTAAATTGATGAAAAACAGTGAGTACTGTGTGTAAAAGCTATAGTCTGAGTGTGGGACATGATCATGAAGAAGTGTTTTATCTAGTTTATCTAGTTTATAAATCTGAGTAGTTTACACTTACCTCAGGTTATTCTGGTAGCTGGGGGAGAGGGTTGGAATTACTGCCCCTTTTTTTCGACGTGTTGTTAAGACAATTTTCTTCACCCTACATTCATACTTTTGACATTTAGCACATACCAAAGACTTTTGCCACACTTTACGACTGAAACTAACGCACATCCGTGAATTTTCAAATTCGTAGCTAGGAATTTGCGGTTTTTAACCATTTTCAGCGTTTATTATATCGCTCATCGTGAATAAAACCCCTCATGATTCTCATAAAACATGTACAAACGTCAAACCAATGTTTGTGTTTCTCTAAATTCATGAGATATTCACAAAACCGTCCTTTTTTTCACAAGCTAAGTTTTTCTATCTCATTATACGTTCTAAACTTTAAGAATAGTGGTTTGAAAATATTTCCGCATCATGGGGGAAATCAACTAAATCTCATAAGATCCTAGTCAATCACGACCTTCCATTGTATAGAATTGACGATACCAGATTATCTGCTGTGCCTTACTTCCTCCGCAAACGCTTTCCTCCGTCGCAAAGTTATTTAGTATGCTTGAGCACCTCACATTTCTCAGGGTAATAGTTTAATTAACTCGAATGTTTTGAAGAAACTTTAATGGTGATTAATGTTAAGATAAAAGCTTTTAAGTTCCTTTTTTGTTGATTTCCCTACTGCACGGGAAATTTATTTTAGATTATAAAACAACGCACTGCTCCAAATAAAATAATGCGTACATTATCTACTGTACTATACTTCTACAATATAATACTCTACTTACTACCTATAATTATACATCAGTTATCAGTATGTTATACACGTGTTGTTATTTCAGGTTCTATCTGACGCTGGAATACTACCTGGTGGGGATATGACTGCTGAAGCTGCTCTGGCTAAACTATCTTACCTGCTGGCCAAAAAGAACCTTACACAAGAACAAAGAAGGCAGGTAACTTGTTTAGAGGATTATTTCCTAGGTAATATGTTACAGCGTAAGTAATAAAGTGCATCATGGTTTCGTTCGCGTTGGTTAGGATTTATTTATTTAGGTATTATTTTATGCAACTAGATTGTACTATTTTTTAGGTAAATCGTGTAAGTTTTTTATTGCTTGACTGACTCCATTGTTTAATAAAACAACAATTTCAATCGGAAGTAAAATTAAATACTGGTTAACCAAATACGAATCATCTTTATGTCTGATAAAATTGTAAAAACCTCGCTTGGGGTGAAAATAATTAAGAATTAAGTTCAAAAGTTTGGGCTTTTAAAGTAGCTTCGATAATTAAAGTCCTATGTAAGCTTCTGAGATCGTCCTCTCAGAAGCTTAATACTATATGACACGTCCAGTAACGCAGCGTTATAGATTATGCAATGAGGATTGCTATTTTTACTAGTACTGTAAACAGTTTGTCAGTCTCACTGATACTACGGACCCCTCCTTATCAAACCTCTCACAGAAGATAACATGATATCCCTAAACTTCTTGTTGGTCAGCACGTACACAGCAGGGTTCAAAACAACATTAAGACTGCTAGTATATATCATCAACAAATCAAACCAATGTCCCTGCTGCTTCTGGAAGGTGCCCACAGCACCCAACACCAAGTTAAGTATAATACACGCATACGACGCCACAAACACTTGCACTATCATGGACAGCGTCAGGAACATCTTCTTCATGCCCTGGTCTCTAGCCTTGCTCATGGCCACCCTGACTTTACTAGTTTTAACCCTGACGATAACAGCTAAAGCTACACTTAACACAGCAGTTATGACTATGGGAACCGCTAAAATAACAATACCGTAGTACGCTATGACAGTCTGTGGGGTTCCAGGTACTATAGCCTGACTGGACCAGCAAGTCAGTACCATAGGGTCGAAGTAAGCGTAACAGTTGGAGAGTATGAGGTAGGGTACCGGCCAGGCTGACAGTACGAGTTGGAGGTAGAGTATAGTTCTGAATATCTTGTGCAGCGGCTCTGAAGCGGCAACTTTGGTGCAGATCAGTGTCGTGCGGTACACTGACGGGGGTGTTGGTTTTGGTAATTTGCAGGTAGTTTGAGTAATTGAGATGTGATAATAATGAATAAACAAAGTTAAGTGATGCAATGGAACACACACTACACTTAATTAACGAGCTTACTATCTACATTTAGTAACATTAAGTAAAGTTATCAGTTGTACCTGTGATGGAGAGAATGGTGAGAACTTCATAGATGAGGGGAACAAAGAAAAGGAAAGCCACCCCAAAACACAGCACCTCCCCCAGCACCCATCTCTTAGCACACAACACAATAAACATGGGCAGGTAGAGAAGGAGGGAGACCAGTATGTCGGACACTGCTAGGTTGTGTACAAACATCAGGGAGATGGGGTCTAGTTTCAGAGCCTTGTGTACCAGGGACAGGTACAGGACTGCAGAGTTCCCTACCACTCCCACTATCACTACCTGTGGGGTTAGTGTTAGAGTCTAGTTTCAGAGCCTTGTGTACCAGGGACAGGTACAGGACTGCAGAGTTCCCTACCACTCCCACTATCACTACCTGTGGGGTTAGTGTTAGAGTCTAGTTTCAGAGCCTTGTGTACCAGGGACAGGTACAGGACTGCAGAGTTCCCTACCACTCCCACTATCACTACCTGTGGGGTTAGTGTTAGAGTCTAGTTTCAGAGCCTTGTGTACCAGGGACAGGTACAGGACTGCAGAGTTCCCTACCACTCCCACTATCACTACCTGTGGGGTTAGTGTTAGAGTCTAGTTTCAGAGCCTTGTGTACCAGGGACAGGTACAGGACTGCAGAGTTCCCTACCACTCCCACTATCACTACCTGTGGGGTTAGTGTTAGAGTCTAGTTTCAGAGCCTTGTGTACCAGGGACAGGTACAGGACTGCAGAGTACCCTACCACTCCCACTATCACTACCTGTGGGGTTAGTGTTAGAGTCTAGTTTCAGAGCCTTGTGTACCAGGGACAGGTACAGGACTGCAGAGTTCCCTACCACTCCCACTATCACTACCTGTGGGGTTAGTGTTAGAGTCTAGTTTCAGAGCCTTGTGTACCAGGGACAGGTACAGGACTGCAGAGTTCCCTACCACTCCCACTATCACTACCTGTGGGGTTAGTGTTAGAGTCTAGTTTCAGAGCCTTGTGTACCAGGGACAGGTACAGGACTGCAGAGTTCCCTACCACTCCCACTATCACTACCTGTGGGGTTATTGTTAGAGTATAGTTTCAGAGCCTTGTGTACCAGGGACAGGTACAGGACTGCAGAGTTCCCTACCACTCCCACTATCACTACCTGTGGGGTTAGTGTTAGAGTCTAGTTTCAGAGCCTTGTGTACCAGGGACAGGTACAGGACTGCAGAGTTCCCTGCCACTCCCACTATCACTACCTGTGGGGTTAGTGTTAGAGTCTAGTTTCAGAGCCTTGTGTACCAGGGACAGGTACAGGACTGCAGAGTTCCCTGCCACTCCCACTATCACTACCTGTGGGGTTAGTGTTAGAGTCTAGTTTCAGAGCCTTGTGTACCAGGGACAGGTACAGGACTGCAGAGTTCCCTACCACTCCCACTATCACTACCTGTGGGGTTAGTGTTAGAGTCTAGTTTCAGAGCCTTGTGTACCAGGGACAGGTACAGGACTGCAGAGTTCCCTACCACTCCCACTATCACTACCTGTGGGGTTAGTGTTAGAGTCTAGTTTCAGAGCCTTGTGTACCAGGGACAGGTACAGGACTGCAGAGTTCCCTACCACTCCCACTATCACTACCTGTGGGGTTAGTGTTAGAGTCTAGTTTCAGAGCCTTGTGTACCAGGGACAGGTACAGGACTGCAGAGTTCCCTACCACTCCCACTATCACTACCTGTGGGGTTAGTGTTAGAGTCTAGTTTCAGAGCCTTGTGTACCAGGGACAGGTACAGGTAACAGGACTGCAGAGTTCCCTACCACTCCCACTATCACTAACTGTGGGGTTAGTGTTAGAGTCTAGTTTCAGAGCCTTGTGTACCAGGGACAGGTACAGGACTGCAGAGTTCCCTACCACTCCCACTGTCACTACCTGTGGGGTTAGTGTTAGAGTCTAGTTTCAGAGCCTTGTGTACCAGGGACAGGTACAGGACTGCAGAGTTCCCTACCACTCCCACTATCACTACCTGTGGGGTTAGTGTCAGAGTCTAGTTTCAGAGCCTTGTGTACCAGGGACAGGTACAGGACTGCAGAGTTCCCTACCACTCCCACTATCACTACCTGTGGGGTTAGTGTTAGAGTCTAGTTTCAGAGCCTTGTGTACCAGGGACAGGTACAGGACTGCAGAGTTCCCTACCACTCCCACTATCACTAACTGTGGGGTTAGTGTTAGAGTCTAGTTTCAGAGCCTTGTGTACCAGGGACAGGTACAGGACTGCAGAGTTCCCTACCACTCCCACTGTCACTACCTGTGGGGTTAGTGTTAGAGTCTAGTTTCAGAGCCTTGTGTACCAGGGACAGGTACAGGACTGCAGAGTTCCCTACCACTCCCACTATCACTACCTGTGGGGTTAGTGTTAGAGTCTAGTTTCAGAGCCTTGTGTACCAGGGACAGGTACAGGACTGCAGAGTTCCCTACCACTCCCACTATCACTACCTGTGGGGTTAGTGTTAGAGTCTAGTTTCAGAGCCTTGTGTACCAGGGACAGGTACAGGACTGCAGAGTTCCCTACCACTCCCACTATCACTACCTGTGGGGTTAGTGTTAGGGTCTAGTTTAAGAGCCTTGTGTACCAGGGACAGGTACAGGACTGCAGAGTTCCCTACCACTCCCACTATCACTACCTGTGGGGTTATTGTTAGGGTCTAGTTTCAGAGCCTTGTGTACCAGGGACAGGTACAGGACTGCAGAGTTCAGTACCACTCCCACTATCACTACCTGTGGGGTTACTGTTAGAGTCTAGTTTCAGAGCCTTGTGTACCAGGGACAGGTACAGGACTGCAGAGTTCCGTACCACTCCCACTATCACTACCTGTGGGGTTAGTGTTAGAGTCTAGTTTCAGAGCCTTGTGTACCAGGGACAGGTACAGGACTGCAGAGTTCCCTACCACTCCCACTATCACTACCTGTGGGGTTATTGTTAGAGTATAGTTTCAGAGCCTTGTGTACCAGGGACAGGTACAGGACTGCAGAGTTCCCTACCACTCCCACTATCACTACCTGTGGGGTTATTGTTAGGGTCTAGTTTCAGAGCCTTGTGTACCAGGGACAGGTACAGGACTGCAGAGTTCCCTGCCACTCCCACTATCACTACCTGTGGGGTTAGTGTTAGAGTCTAGTTTCAGAGCCTTGTGTACCAGGGACAGGTACAGGACTGCAGAGTTCCCTACCACTCCCACTATCACTACCTGTGGGGTTATTGTTAGAGTCTAGTTTCAGAGCCTTGTGTACCAGGGACAGGTACAGGACTGCAGAGTTCCCTACCACTCCCACTATCACTACCTGTGGGGTTAGTGTTAGAGTCTAGTTTCAGAGCCTTGTGTACCAGGGACAGGTACAGGACTGCAGAGTTCCCTACCACTCCCACTATCACTACCTGTGGGGTTAGTGTTAGAGTCTAGTTTCAGAGCCTTGTGTACCAGGGACAGGTACAGGACTGCAGAGTTCCCTACCACTCCCGCTATCACTACCTGTGGGGTTAGTGTTAGAGTCTAGTTTCAGAGCCTTGTGTACCAGGGACAGGTACAGGACTGCAGAGTTCCCTACCACTCCCACTATCACTACCTGTGGAGTTAGTGTTAGAGTCTAGTTTCAGAGCCTTGTGTACCAGGGACAGGTACAGGACTGCAGAGTTCCCTACCACTCCCACTATCACTACCTGTGGGGTTAGTGTTAGAGTCTAGTTTCAGAGCCTTGTGTACCAGGGACAGGTACAGGACTGCAGAGTTCCCTACCACTCCCACTATCACTACCTGTGGGGTTAG